GCGCTTTAAATCCATAAAAATGCAATATAAGTAAATGCTCTTCGGCACCCCATAATCTCTGGCTGTGCCACGGAATCCGTAGCGTAAAGAGTTGCAGTGCATAGCCAACGGATAGCTTGAATGTTCTACCTTTCAAAAGGGGTACTATAGTTAATAACAAAAACACTGTTATGTATATTTTAGAGTCTTCACCATTTTATTACGTCGGCCTTACTGTTGTGTGAGGTCAATGACCGTGGTGTTACACGTGAATTGCTTCACGCCACGCCTTTCTTGTCTCGCGTGAGTAGGCCGTAGGAGGTAAGAAGTAAACAAAAAAATACATGAATATACATTTTTACTGCAAGGACAATACGAGACGTCTTAAAGACCAACAAAGTCACTGAAACGAAAGACAGTGAATTGCCACAGGTGAGAACAAACTAGATATATTGTCTTTATTGAGCTAAGCTCAGGCAAAATGTTTTAATTATCTGAGGGCTAAGCATGTCTCTAAATTATTTCCTATGCTGGCAGGTTAAACGTACAAGAACTGCACGTTGAGATCGACATGCTACCTTCACTACGTTCGTTACTACTCCAAATCTAATGAACTTTTGTGTTAGCTCAGTCGACAATAGCGTGTTTATACCTGTGCTATATTCGTTTCTTTGTTATGTTTATTTGTGTGTGTGTACTTTCCAGGGTCGCAAAACCCTTTCAGTTCTCTGCTTTGTAGGTCGAACCCGAAAATTGATCAGTTTGAAATCCAAAATGTCTGAGAACGACGCGAAGAAGAATGACGCACAGTTCTACTCTGTCGGTGTGCAGACCGGTTCGGACGATGCAGGTATCATCGACGCTGACTATGAAAGAATCGTCTGCATACCGGTAAGTCCCGAATGCTTATTTCACGATGCAGAATTTCGTATTCACTAGACGGAAAAACAAACAAACATAGGGCATAAATTGACCTACATGGGTATGTACATCGTCCGATTCACAGAGTTTCGTCAAAACCGACTTTCCATGTTCGTCCTATAATGGTGAGGCGAATAAACCAACACGAATAAAATAACATCTCTGGAACGACCCTTTACAACAAACAAACAAACCATTATAAATGGTAGCTTGGTTCAGTTATATTTTAGATGTTAACAGAGATGCCGGACATTTCTTTGGTGACATGGTGACTCTAAATATTATCGTTTTTGGTGTGCCAGCGGACTCGTGGGCGCAGTATTGACCTTCAATATATTCAGATACTTTAGTAGCTGTTTCAAATTCTTGTGCGCCCATGGACAATGAACTGTGACACTTTCAAGTCATTCGAAACAATGTGTTCGTTGTAGCTTATCGTCGAGTACTTTCAAAACTTGCGTATCAATAAGTAAGTTCCAGAATTTTTGTATCCAAATTTCGAACCACATACTACTTGGGGGTATTCTAGAAGGTCCATTTTATTCAGCCAAACCTTGGATGTAGTGCCGGTCACTCTATGTCTGCCCTGCACATATAATGGTATGTTAGGCACACATTTGATGAATGTATATACATACCTAGATACATGCATACGTGTATAAGTAGCACGTATTGTGACGTGTCGGCTCTTTATCTCGCTAAGGGTTAGTCCACGATAACTACTGGGGTAAATACATCGGGAAAGTTGTGTCGACCATGTTTCTTGTCGTCAAGCATTTACTGGACGCCGTTTGAAGTTTTTTTCTTTCTAAAAAAATTTTAGAAGTTCAAAATTCGTTTGCTTCTCCCAAAACTTTCTTCTGCAGAATTTGTTTCTGCCAAATTACACCTCTGTAGAAATAATAGTCAGGCTCTGTAGACAAATCCGCTGTCATCAGAAAATAAAAAAAAGGATCTATTGTGATCGTCTTTTCAAATGATTGTAGGATGTATCATAGGAGTAATAGACGACTTTTTGACTTTATAATCTGCTGTCTCGTTCGTAGTCAGTCGTGTGATAGTCATAAAAATCACCATCTAACAAATTATCTAATGCATTACTGCATGATGGGTGAATGTTTAACTTGATACCGCCAACTCATGAAAAAGTTGCATTTTGTGGGTTACGATGTATCCACAAGACAGATGTACACCATAAACCAATTGGGAACGAGCCTGGAATTGGAATGAGCATCGCCAGGAATTCGCAAACGGTCTATTTACCAACTTTAATGAGTACGTATGTTTCTATTCTGAATTCTCTCGACCGTACTTCTGATATATATCACCGTATTGCCAACCCGGTTCCCCCAAATTAATTATAACATGATTACCTTTAGACATGAATGGAGAAACAGTATTCGCAGAATTGATGAAACTGTTCAACAACGTGTTTTGGACAGTTCCGGTTTTTAAGATGTTCCCTAGCCTGTTAGGTCCGGGGTTTATATAACTCTTCGCAACTACTGCTTGATTCACTAGTACGACAAAAAATAATAAAAGACGTCACTGAGAGATTTGATATAGTTATAACTGTAATCCTCGATGGAACTCTATTAGTTGAACAATCTGATTGCATAGAACCGTTTGGCGAGAAAAAAATATCTTGTTCTCTATTCTTATGCAACACCACTCACTCAATAAATGACCGAAAACATTTATTGCAACTATACAAAAAACCAAAACCAAAATTTCGGCAAAACATGTTTATGGCATGGCATACCAGTAATCACAATATTCTACGTACATGAACAAAAACTTTAGGACAAGTTACCGTGTTTTATGCATATTTGACCAAAAAAATGTCGGGCTAAATTTGTTACACCATTTAGCCTGTTGATGAGCTGTAGAAACAGACGTGCTTTTGACCCCACATACCGACTTCAAACTCAGAAAGAAATGGTAATTTCAGAATTGTTGACGTTAGGCTTGACTGTTATATGTCGGTTACTGGGTTGGCAGCCATCAACACAACTCAACCACCGGTCAGTGAATGGATGGCTTCAAAGTCGGTGATAGGGTTAAATAAGGCCGCGTCACCCCGCTCAAACTTTTCTTGAAGACCAGTCTTACTGGACTCTAACATATAAAAGAACACTCAACTGCAACCATACGTATACGGCATTGCTACGTCGTCAGGGGCGGATCTAGGATTCTGGAATAGGTGGGCCGATAAGTTGGCCGAAGGCCAAGTACGCGAGCGCCGATGGCACGAAGCC